GGCTTCTTAACCTCATCAGCATGGCCGGCGTGCCCCCATTTACATGAACAATCTATCTGAGCCTCCACTCCTCTTCTCATGAGCTCTAGTACAAAAGATGTATACTAAACACAACCCTGCCCCCATATTTCAGTGCAAGCTTGTAGATTTCCTCCTAAGAACCCTGAGACGCCTCCATGTGAGCCTCAAAAAGTACTCTCCCGTCTGTTGAACTGCGCATGTGTTGCCCTTTTGGTTCAGCTTCCTAGGGTGGGCACACGCAGCCCCCGTTCTTTTTTTAGGGGGGGGGGCATCACTGTCACGAACATTAGTACTAAGTGTAACCTCTGTGCATACACGCAAAAGAAGGAGGGGAGAAAGGGTGACTAATATTTGATAGGAAAGAAGAAGAGTATGTATCTGAGCTCTACAGCATATCTGTTATTTCTGTAAGCGGAACTTTACTGTCTGGTGTAAAACTTGAAATTCCGTGTTTATTGATCCCCTTGGCGAAATTTGGTTTATTTTGACGTAACATGTTTCACACACACATACATACATACATACATACATACATACATACATACATACATGAATATGGTACATAATTAGATAGATACTTACAAACTGAAGCATATAGATAATAATACAACAGAAACACCATTACTGGTCGCCACTGTGCAGCACTTTTATCCTAAGCTACGGTTAGACTATCTTTCACAAGAACCTGTGGTTCCCCTGATGTCCGCAATGCCACTCCCACAAAATCCATCCCCACCCACCATGACCTGCATACACACACAAACACATACACACAGACGCACAAACACACACACACACACACACACACACACACACAAACACTCATACACACACACACACACACACACACATACACACACACACGGGTACACAATGGCTGTTCAGATGCTTCGCGAGTGGATTTAATATTGTGATATTTGAGCTCAGTGAATGCTATCACCCTCTCCATGAATTAAAAGTCTCAAGTCATTTTTGTTTATAGACTGAAGAAACAAATAAAATGTTTAGATTTTAAAAAGTCAGAACACATTTTATTGTTAATGTACTGCCATTTGTAAATCGCCGAGAGGCTGTGTTATTTAACCAGGGTAAAGCGCTATGTAATTTAATAATAGTATTGTTATCATAATAATAATAATAGGCTATCTCTCGCTTCCCCTTACTCTTTCAGAGCCTGTGTTCTTTAAATCGGGGTAGATGCGCTATATAGAAGTAATATCATTATGTTAATGATAACAAAAATCTTAACAATAATAATAATAATTATAATAATAATAATTATAATAATAATACTTATTATTATAATATCTCTCGCTTCATCTTCCTTTGCAGAGCCTGCCTACCTGCAAGAGCAAATCGATCTGTTGAAGAAGACAAACGCAAAGATCATCAGTATCGGTGTTGGAAAGAAGGCTGACAAACAAGAGTTGGAGCAGATCGCCACTCACAACAAGCTGGCGTTCCAAGTCAACAGCGCCGCCGCTTTGGACTCCATTGAACAATCGGTCTTAGACAAAGCATGCATCACCCCATGTAAGTTTACGCTACCACTGCTGCTGCTGCTGCTGCTGCTGCTGCTGCTGCTGCTGCTACTACTACTACTACTACTACTACTACTACTTAAGTTCACATTCACATTGCAGGACTATGGAGCGGATGGCCCTGGTTCGAATCCCAGATTGGGTGTTCTTGATCTTGGGTCGTTTTATGAAGTTGCTTTCAAGGATCTTCATTCTTTGACTGCAACCTTCGAACATCTGCTTTCGTGTTTTAAAATTAATCTCTTTTAGGGCCAGGTGCATGCTGATGGTATCTTTGTATCACCCTAGTTTTCTGTCCCCTGAAAGGTTTTCTATGCTGAAAACCCATGTACATTAGTACGTCAAGCAAGGTACTTCTACGTGCTTTTGCTCATGGAAATTATCATTTGCTATGTGAGTCAACTTTTCCTAATTACATGCTGCCTGAAAACGGTGTTGTCAAAGCTTAAGCAATATTCTCATTTTGACATGTCAGTCACTCTTGGGGATTGAATTGGTATGAGCTCCTAGAGAGAAAGAGAGAGAGAGAGAGAGAGAGAGAGAGAGAGAGAGAGAGAGAGAGAGAGAGAGAGAGAGAGAGAGAGAGAAAGAGGAGAAAGAAAGAGAGAGATTGCAATTGTTTAATTAATGAGCCACAAGTTACAGGAAAGAAGTCAACAGCAAATGCTTTAAAAAAGGGTTGCTGTTTTGAGAGATGAAAAGAATCGATGAAAGGATTGTTTTGATTATAAATTTGTTCTATTTTCTCTACTTCAGCTGAGCCACCCAGATGCCGTGTTCCCGTGGATCTGATGCTTGTTGTGGACAAATCAGCCAGCATCAGTAACCCACAGTTCAAGAAGGCAAGGGAATTCCTTGGAAAAGTGGCAGGTGAGCTTGTATTTAACTTAAATTGAGACCGACAAGTAGAAAATGTTGAGTTTGTTTTCCTTAAGTCGAGACCGCCATTTTAAACTGTTGAAAACTCTCAATCACAGACCCCCCCCCCCCCTTTTTTTTGCCCCCCCTCTCTCCTTGTTAGGTGAAAAAAAAAAAGGGGAAAAAAGAAAAAAGCGGGGGGGGAAAAAATTTTAGGGCCCTTTTGATCTGGGGAAAAAAGGGGGGGGGTCTCTTTTTTTACCCCCCTCCCC